CTATATGGTCTGGATAAGCATCTCGGTTCTTTCTATCTGCAGACACTTTTACGGACAAAATGGAACCAAGGTTCGAATTGATGGTCCTCGTATTCTCAATCTAATCATTCAATATCGCTAACAATCCTAACAGCTACAAAGCACAGCCGATTTGCGCTGCTATACACCGTCCTCAGGGCCCTCAAGGGGCCGATACTAGCCGTCGTGTTTCCACGGCTCTGTTACATCGGCTTTACATTTGCCCAGCCTTTTCTCATCTCCGCCACTCTGAGTTGGAGTGAACATCCCGAGGACTCCGACGATGCCGACGAGGGCTACGGCCTCATTGGTGCATGGTTCCTCGTATATGTTGGGATCGCGGTACGTGCGGATCATGCAGGTTTGCTATTTGCTGCAGCCCTGCATCAAGTGTGCTTCCTTCTGCATGTTTTCTCTTCGCTTTCCATTGCTTTCTTTTTTTTGACATGTTCCCCCCCCCTTGCTGACCCGAAATTAAAACCTGCAGGTTTCTATGGGGCAGCACCAGCATCTGACCTACCGTGCCATCACGATGATGCGCGGCACGCTCGTGTCGGCTCTGTACGCCAAGGCCACCGACATCAGTATCACGGCGGCCGACCCAACAGCCGCCTTGACCCTGATGAGCGCCGACATTGAGAGGATCGACGTGGGATGGCGCACTGCGCACGAGGTCTGGGCGAATCTAGTGGAGATTGCTGTCGCGGTCTATCTGCTGCAACGCCAACTTGGCATCGCATGCCTCATCCCCGTCGGAGCCGCAATCTGTAAGCCCGAGCTCCATCGCTAGCCAACGATTGGAAAGTGAGGCTTTCCCTTGCTGACACCCTAATTTTCAGTCTCCATCGTCGGATCCATCATCGCTGTGAGCTTTGTCATGGCGAGACAGGCGCTGTGGCTCGAGGCCATCGAGGCGCGGATCGCTGTTACATCGCAGGTCCTGGGTGCCATGAAGGCAGTCAAGATGTGGGGTCTGACGGACGCTCTCAAGGCAAGGATCCAGGCCATGAGAGTCGACGAGCTGCGCATCTCCGGTAAATTCCGCCGACTGTTGATCTGGAACATGGGTCTTGGTAGGTCCAGTCGCAACACCACTTGCCTTGTTCTTCTCCCTGGTGCAGATCAAACGGAGGAGACGGTGATATTCACATGAGCTAATCGCCACGTCGCAGCGTACTTTGCACCTATAATTGCCCCCATATTGACCTTCACCGCATACAGCGTCCTCGCCCGCAACCAGGGCGATGGGGGCACCCTGGATACAAACAGGGTCTTCACGTCGTTGTCGCTCTTTGCCCTACTGCAGGAACCCCTTTCATCATTTGTCACATCACTCTCTTCATTGGTTGGCTCAATCGGCTGCTTTGAGCGTATCCAAACCTTCCTAGACTCTGATGTGCGTGTTGACGGAAGAGTGAAGCTTCTTCTCAAAGATTCAGATGGCGCCAATACCTCGTTCCCAGACACTTCTCAGACAAGTGTCGAGAATGAGAAGCCAGCCCAGCATGATCTGAAAGAAAGAGCGAGCAAGGTGAGCAGCGTATCTATGGATGGTATCGCTGTCCTTATCAAAGACGGGGCCTTCGGCTATGACACTAGCAAGGAGAGTATCCTTACAGACATTAACATTGAAGTGCCTGTAAGCAAATTCACTTTGATCGTCGGCCCGGTCGGCTCCGGTAAGTCTACCTTGCTCAAGGCGATTCTTGGAGAGGCTAGCATCATAACCGGTTCGGTTCATGTGTCAAGCGACGAGATAGCCTACTGTGACCAGACGCCGTGGCATATGAATGGTACCGTCAGAGACAGTATCATCGCTTTCTCGCCGGCAGATGAGCGCTGGTACCAACAGGTGCTCGGAGCCTGTGCCTTGAATGAGGATCTTCACCAGCTACCCAAAGGTGATCTTACCACAATTGGAAGCAAAGGTATTGTTCTAAGCGGAGGGCAGAGTCAAAGAATAGTGAGTAAACTCAGACGGCATCCTCAACTCAGCCTCGAACGTATACTAATACAATTCATCCAGAGTTTGGCACGAGCTGTATACGCCAAGCGTGATATTATCATCTTGGATGATGTATTCAGCGGACTAGATGCACACACTGAGAATACTGTCTTCCATAATCTACTTGGAACGAACGGAATTCTGAGAAAGTTCCACACCACAGTCATTGTTACCTCCTCTCGATGTAAGTGATGCATTCTCACCAGAACCACGAAGTACTTTGGAACTAACAAGTAGCAGCTAAACGTATTCCTTATGCTGATCACATCATAAGTCTGAATACAGACGGGAGCGGCTGCGAACAGGGCAACCTGGACCAGCTGACCGCCTCCGGAGGCTATGTGTCTCGTCTTCAAGCCTCTACAGCGGACTGGACTCACTCAGAGTCAGAAGATTCTGCTCACAGCTCCACCGCCAGCTTCAAGAAAAATGAAACTGCGTTAGTGGAGCAGGCAGTCGAAGTTGGCGGGGAGGCGCCAGACATGGAAGACGACGAGGCTCGCCGACGTATGGGTGATGTGGCGATTTACAAGTACTACGTCCAAGCTATCGGATGGATTCCCACCCTCATTTTCGTCTGCGTAATCTGCTCCTACATTTTCTGTCAATCCTTCCCCACCATTTGGGTCAACTGGTGGGCGGCCGCGAACGCTGAGCACCCCAACGAGAGGCTTGGATATTACTTGGGTATCTACGCCATGTTGGGCGTGCTGTCTCTCCTCTTCCTCGTTGTCAGCTGTTGGCAAATGATTGTGACAATGGTGCCGCTGTCGGGAAAGAACTTCCATTGGAGTCTCCTGACGACGGTGCTGAACGCGCCCATGTCCTTCTTCGCCAAAACTGATGCTGGTGTCACCATCAACCGCTTCAGCCAAGATCTACAGCTCATTGATATGGATCTGCCAATTACTGCACTCAACACATTCGCCACATTTGTCCTCTGCATTGCCCAGATGATTCTTATTGCTGTTGGCTCCTACTACACGGCCATCGCATTCCCCTTTCTGCTCGCGGCTTTGTGGCTCGTTCAGCACGTCTATCTACGCACATCGCGACAGCTCCGTTTCATGGACCTCGAGGCCAAGTCTCCTCTCTACGCACAGTTCACTGAAACAGTGAGCGGTCTAGCGACACTGCGTGCGTTTGGTTGGCGCAGCGCCCTGGAAGAAAAGCACCACCAACTTCTGGATCGCTCGCAGAGGCCATACTACCTTTTATACTCCGTCCAGCGGTGGCTCACACTGGTCCTTGACATGTTCGTAGCAGGAATCGCGGTGCTCCTCATCATCTTAATTACACGGCTGCGCGGCACCCTCCCGACTGGCCTGGTGGGTGTAGCGCTCGTCAATGTGATTCTCTTCAGCCAGAACCTGAAGCTTCTCATGATGTTCTGGACGAACCTGGAGACGCACATTGGCGCCATTTCCAGGATCAAATCCTTCACGTCAGAGACGCCGTCTGAACACGAGCCGCTGGAAACCCAGCAGCCTCCCTCCGATTGGCCTTCGCAGGGTGCTATTACATTTGACAAGGTGTCTGCCGGCTATACGTAAGTTCTTTTCTCCCTCCCTCCGGTCCTCCGGTAATTCCCCATCAGTTCATGGGCTGACGAAAGCGGCGGACGCAGGGATTCGGAAAACGTAATTAGGGACTTGACCCTGTCTATAAAACCCGGACAAAAGATTGGAATCTGTGGTCGGACCGGAAGGTAACATTGCATATGCATTGCTTTGCCGCATGCAGCCAACATCCCATCATTGCTTTTTAATTGCTGACTAGCTGCTGCAGTGGCAAGAGCTCATTGGTCTCATGCCTGTTCCGCATGATTGACCTGCACGGAGGTAGTATCACAGTGGATGGCCTCGACATATGCACGCTGCCCCGCCAGCAAGTGCGCAATCGACTCGTCGGCGTGCCGCAGGACGCTTTCCTCATTGAGGGTAGCAGCGTGCGCTTCAATGCTGACTGCGAGGGGCTGTCCACGGACGAGGTCATCGCCGATGCCATCCGCGCCGTGGAGCTGTGGGACATTGTCCAGGCCAAGGGAGGTCTTGACGCGCCCATCGAGGAGCTTCACCTCTCCCACGGCCAGCGGCAATTGTTCTGCCTTGCTCGTGCGATGCTGCGACCCTCTACTATTGTGATCCTTGATGAAGCTACCAGCAGGTATGTCTATCCTATCTTTCTTCAGTATACATATCCATGATATTGTCCCGTTCTAACAGCACTGGAACTTCTAGCGTGGACGCACACACTGACCAGCTTATTCGACGTGTCATGTCAGAGAGATTCTCGAATCATACTGTCCTTGCGATCGTGCATAAGCTGGAAACGGCTCTTGATGACTTTGATGCCATAGCGGTGCTTGATGCTGGCGAGCTGCGCGAGTTTGGGCCACCACGAGAGCTATTGCAGCGCGGCCCTGACGTCTCTGCGTTTGCTGCGCTTTATGAAAAGTTCGCAATTAAAGCGGACAGCAGCAGTGATAGTGAGGATGATGCCAAGATTAACAGTGATAGAAACGATGCGGATGAGAACTGCCATCCTGATAAGGAGGCATAGAAAGTATCATAATCGTTTAAGCCTTTTCAGTCTTGAGCAGTTTGGGTAATGTTGGATCATCTGTACTTTAGGCACGACGTTCTGAATAATCCTGTGGATGAGGATCCTGTGAGTCTCTAATGGGTATTTGGCTCCTTATCCAACTTATCGATAATTTCATTTCATATATCCTATTATATCAGTATGTTTAACGGCAGATATTTATTGTTCGGCATGTCGGACATCAATGTTTTGAGGTCCTATTGCATCCGATAGATAAGAGACGGTCATAGAGTTCATGCTTGCTTGATTAAATACCATATACCAGTAATTATACTATCAATCGTCGATTAAAGTTCCACTAACATATAAGGCCAGTCCCGTTAACCAACGTTTCAATCAAAGAGACAAGGAGATGGAGATTGAAATTGGATGATCACATCAGTTCCCTATTCTGGTCCACCTGGCTAACAATTCCATACACCCGATCAGTCTCGATTAAACCCTTGGCCCGGAATAGATTCATCTCGGGCAGGAACCGAAAGTTCTTGTAAGGATCTAATAATTATCAGCCCAGTTCAATCATCACGTCACAACAAAGTTCAATTACCAGACAGAGCGGGTGTCATAATGGTGAGCTCGAAAAGTTCATCCAGTCCAGGTTTGGGGAGCAGCCCTATCAGATGAACCATCATTGGGAAGCGTAACCCCAAATTGGCGCCAAACAGGCTAACGATACTTTGTGCTGCCTTCAATTGAACTTGTCCAAGCCGAAACTTGTGGCTTTCCTGGGCTAGGAATTTCCGATAGTCCATGACCGCATTTGCCCACTTGGGACTTTCCTCTGCCGAACCGTGCAGGTTCCATCCAAGGAACTTCTTAAACTCTGGTTGCAGAGTAAAGAGTCCCCTTTCGATTAACTGCTCCGCGGTCACCGTCTCAGACTTCCCCTTGATAGCTAGAGATCCCTGAGAAAGAAACTCGCCGAAATAATAGACAGGGCCCTTTAACCCCGTTCGTAGCTTCCATAGATCCTCCAGGCCCGTATAAGGCCATGTGCACTGAAGGGCTTCTATCAAGCTCAAATCGTCAAGAAAAACATCAGGGTGGCATCTACTAGCATCTAGGACAGTCAAGTAAATCTGGTCGAGGGACTCTCCTTTCCCGTAAAGATAGAAAATATACGCGATTGCCGTCAAAAGCGAGCTGGTCCACGACACAAAAGGGCTGGGTTTTCCCGGGACTTGTTTCCAGCGAAGGTGGTTGTCCAGGCTCTGGCCCGCCTGGGCGACTTCACGAAAGGCGAAGACGTCCGTAAACTCGGGGGCTAAGGCCTCCCACTCGGCTGAAGATGCATACGACTCGTTGGTTACACCACCAGAGCCGGGATGGTGCACCCGGAAGAGATGCCGCGGAACTCTACTAAACCTTCCCCTCATGGTGCCCTCCAGTAGGTACGGGTGACATTCAGGCCTCTGGGCCCCTCGATCTGATTGCATCCTTGATGTCGATCCCTCGCGCTAAACACCAGGCAAGCTGGAGGTGAAAGGGGGAGAATTCTCATTCGAATCAAGTGGAGATAAGTGACATACCTAAGACAGATGAGTGAGCTAGTCCCTAAATCGCATAAGTCATCAGGTGATAAAACAAAGACTATTGCCGTAGGCGTGAAGTGTGCCCATCGCCAAGACGCGCCTAACGGTATTCATCTTTGTCAAGAGATGGGGTATCAAAGTAAGTTGGCACCTTGGGTGATAGCAGCGACAACACTTCTACACCGACAAGAATATCGTCTTCGAGTCCTGAAAAGTAAGACATTTTGATGTGAGCTCTCTCATTGGTCAGTGTCCACTAGACAGGGGGGGTTGCACCTCTCTTTTTCTAAATATGGGGTAATTTCCCCTTCCCACCTCTGTGCTGGTCAATGCTCTCGTCAATTATCCTCAGTCCGCCGACCAGGGCTTCCCTTTGTATGGGTGCTGTCGTAGGCAACCCAAGTTACAAATCGAGATCTAGAATGGAGAACAATTCCGCAGGAGAAACGTTACGAAATTAATCTCTTGAAATCTATACTTTAAATCTGAATGAGTAGCTTTTCGTTCACCAGGCTTGTAGGATGTCCTGTTAGCTTGAGTTGATCACTTCATTCGCATTCGAAGACTCACCCACTAATAGTGTAATAAATTTAACACTGACTTCACTCACAATTGGAGAATGAATATTTGCGAAACTAGTCTTTAATTTGAGTAAAACTATTATGTTCATCGAAAAAGATTTTGCAGACCTCAGTCAAGCTTAGTGAGTTGTTCTTCCTGGAGGTATAGGGTAGGCTATCAGCTTGGTTTATGTATGTACCAATGCAACAAATAAAAATGGTCTCTACTGATCTACCTAGATAAACTAAGATGCAAGCTGATATGTGCTTTCGTAGTTGCACTCAAATGTGTCACAGCGCAAGGGATGTTGTGGCTTTCGCTGCTGGCACACTAAGGGAGAGTGAGCTTGTTCATTTCTTTCCTGCCCTGTGTAACTGTTACGATTAAGTCACTAGGCATTAGGAAGTCCTTCCTAGCTTTCTCTGGTTTACCTTTATATATCGTCACAGTAACAACAGAACTTGAATGTTTATAGTTAGAGATTTTATAGAAGCATGAGGATCATCTTATCTCAAGCTTTCGAGATGCCTAGAAAACAATGAGGCACTTGCGCCAATGTGCCTTGAAGGGATAATATCAGATATGAGGACAACTGGCCCCTAAACAAGTTGATACCTATGTTGACATCTTCTACACAAACTATATTAAAGGTAGAAAGAAGAACAAGGTATCGAAGAACGATATTGAACATCAGGTATCAAGTGGTTGAGTTTCGGCTATCTCCGGCGTGTTCTGTGAGTAACACTCTCTATGTGATGTGTAATCGATGTCTGGGTGCTTGCCATAATTACTACCATACCTGGAAATCCATGGGGTGTATTTCTTGGCCAATTCCTGAACGAGCTTCGTCGTGTTTGAGCACGCAATTCTGCCCAACTCGGCCTATGATCACTTTCCACTCGCCCGGTCATTGTTGACTGATCGCATTCTTCTCTCGACTGAGCTGTCATCCTCGTACGTGGTGTCTATGATGCCAAGCCCGTTTATTAGCTACCTGACCGTTTGGTTATGAGACAAGGTGCCAACGACGCTATTGGCAATATTTGCTGAGCAAGATGATCGACGTCATTTCGCAGCATAGACCGTCAATATTATCCCCCAAGGGCCGATTACTTTGCTCGACCCCCCATTCGGGCTGGTCTCCCGAATCTGGCCAGCTGAGTTGTGGATGCGACGTTGCGCCCAGTCACAGACGCCCAGCATGTTGATCCCAGGTCATCATGCATGTTGGCTACACCCCCCCCCCCAGTGGTTGCTTCCAGCGCGGGTAAAGCTGCGCCGAGACAAAGCAATCCTGGCGATCGGCCGATTCTACCTAACTTAGTTCTCAGCTCCTCAATGCCCTCCGCACGCTGTCTGTCCCCTTACCCATTACTCCCAGGTCGATCCCAGAATCTTCCATTCCCAGACCGCCCATTATGTCCTCGGCGCTATGGGACCCCGCAAACCTGCTCCAGATCAGCTACGAGACTCATATCCCTGATGCACCGATCTTCTGTGTCGGTGAATCCAGGAGTAAACTGGGCAACCCCCGCTGTAGATACACGATCCCTGAGCCGGACTACTCCAGGATCCGCACCACTCTTCTCCATCTGGCCTCCAAGGATCCAGAGGATGTAGAGCGCGAGGCCTTGCACACGCTAGCTTTCCTCTGCCTTTGCGATGGCTACCACAAACCCCAAGCCAAAGACGTAACTGATCGCTGGGTCAGGGTCGTCGGGCAGGCAGCCGCGCAAGAACAGCGCAAGGGCCATTCCCGGGGCTCTTCGAGCGCTTCCGTGTCTGACTGGTGGGATCCTTCGGCTGAGCTTCTTCCAAGGGCCAGCAATCCCCAGCAGGGGCGCGGCCAGGTGGCGAATTTGAGCAAGAAGTTGGAAGAGGAGTTGGCCGCGGTCACGGTGGAGCTGAAAGAGTCCAAGGCGAAGGCAGATCAGGAGATTAAATCGCTACGAGCGGAATTGGGTTCATTACAGAACTTGCTGGCGGAAGCCAAGGAGAGAGAGTTAGAGTCAAGTACCGGTGCATCCTCCATGAAAGGCGAAAGAGACAAGCTCGTGGAAGAAATGCAGAAGCTACGCAATGAGCTACTGGAAGCGAACGAGGAGCGTCAGCGGCTGGAGACCACCAGTTCCCAGTTGAAAGAGGAGAACACTGCATTTAGCGAGAAGCTTAATCAACTGCGCGGGGATTTAGTCGTCGCGACCGGAAGGACTCAGCATCTGGAGACCGAGTGCTCTCGCATCAATGAGGAGATGAGCGCTATGAGAACAGAAGCGACGGAACTTGGCGAGAAGAACTCGGTGATACTCAATGCCATTAGGACGATGGAGGCTGAGAGGGATGCCGCAAGGAATGACCATAGAAAGGTCGCGAATGAGCTTGCAGAACAAATGCGCTCTTACATGGCCCTGCAGCACGAAGTTCAGAGCTTACAGGTGATCAAAGCCGGTCATCAGCAGAGCAATGCGGTCAGCTGGTATCGCCGCTTACTAACTTGGATTTCCAAGTTTCGCATACACGCAGTTCTCCTACTCTCCCTTTCAATTGTCGAGCTGGGTCGTCGGGAGATGACTAGATGACAATCTATGGTGAAAGTATCGTGTTGGCGCCTTCCCATGAAGGTGTGAATCTCTCCCGCTTCTGATCAGGATGTGTATCTGGTGTGCCATCAGGTTCGGATAGACCGATGATAGAGCCGTATATGATCAGGCGTGATTGTAACGAATGAATGTAGTCAAATGTTATAATGAGTATTTATGTATTTGTATACGCATCTGTAGAATAGAAATGATGAACAAGGTGGTATGTGGCTTCAATGCTCTCTGTCTTTGAGATTTAAACCACACCCATGCCATTTCATCCTTCACTTGCTGACTTGATTACCTGTTCTTTACAGGGAACCTAACTCTCGAATTACGCAAATAAACCTCTGGGCTTTAAATGCTGCAGGCATCAACCTCCTGTTTAGATGCCACCCATGACCAAAAAACAGAGAATGCACGCAATTCGGAAGCCTAAACATGGGATATTTTGGTAGCCTAGTCTATAGCCACGTGTCATTTGCAGTTCCAACATATAAGAGATAATTTAAGATTTCATGCTTTGAAATTAGGAATTAAGGAAGGGTATCTACATCTCGAATCCCTTAAGTTAGAGGTTTTAATCTCCATCGTGGTGTGGACACCCAATTGCCCGTCTCTCACGTCTTTAGCTCTAGCCCCGCAAAATCCTCTCCGCCAACTCCCTCATTTGACACCGCAACTTACGGAGGCAATTTTACTTTCTTCATCCATCTCAGCATGGACGCAGAAGACGAGACAGAGCGCGAAGAGCGCCTCCGCAACCTGTACGCGACACTAGCCACCGACCTCGGCTATACAGGAGACAACCAGCTTCGCCGGTGGCTGGAAGCGGGAGCGGTAAAACTTGAACAATTCTTTGCCTTCTTGGGGGATTGGATATGCGAGTGCATCGAGGGGCTGGGCCGTCGTTATGGCCCTTTCTGGAGGCTTCGTTGGTCACTGTATTATCCCTGGTCCTCTCGCAACCGCAACCTGCGCGACTTGAAGCGCGCAAAGCAGCAACTAAAGCAAATTTGCGGGAAAAAGGCGACACCAACACAGCGACGTGCCCAGCTCGCCCGAACGCCCTTCGTCAAGCTGAGGAGAGCCGTCATCGGCAAAACCGCCAACCGTAGCCCATTCTTCACGAAGCTCCCACCCGAAATCCGAAGAATGATTCTTGCGGAGGCATTCGGGAACCAGACCATTCATTTGGACTTGAGTCTTCGTTACCCATTCTATGAGATGAAGGGTCAGCCAAGAATCATCCAGGGTAAACGCTATCACTATTGTGCCCACGCCAAGATCCGGCCTTTGTCTTTCGAGAGATATAACGTGGACAGTGACAGGCTGGACGAAAAGACTACATTTGACACCACCAAGAGGAAGAAATGGAGATGGCTCAGCTGCGTATGCCACAGACAGCTACCAACGGCCAAACGCTTGGCATTTGGTAGGAGACATAACATGAATCATTGGGGCTCAACTTTCAAGGAACCTCATTTCGACCGTTGCCTGGCTGGGCGAGGTTATTGCACTCTGTGGCCCGGTGAGTGGCCGAGTAAGTGTTTTGTGGGCGTTTACGGGTGGCTTCTAAGCTGCCGCCAAGCGTGAGTTGAAACCTGCAAGTGCATCGTTGATGATTTCATACTAATTTAGAGCTTTCGCTTGAATAGATATATGGAAACGTATAGAATCTTGTTCCAGTTGAACACCTTTTTTATATCATCTCCTGTGCTTCTTCTGGGAATCCAAGATATACTGGGCTACAACATCATCGGAATGATGACGTCTCTTGATCTTGTGTTTGATAAAGCTGTTTTGGACCTGAGTGAAACGTTCACTGGCCTGCCTCCTAAGTTTGGGATCAAATCAATGCCTGAGAACGGGAAATTCGTCTTCCCTTCCCTGCAGCAACTCAGAATCTCCTTTGTTGAGACGAGACAGTTTACAGATCCCTGGACTGGTGAATATTTACCCATCGGGTTTGACTTTGAAAATCGCGACGTCATCACTATGAAAACTCTCCCAGAACTTGATAGTCTGCTTCAGAGGATTGTACCCCCAAGCGCCGAAGTTACAGTTTCTTGCCCACACCCTCGTTGGTATGTGGAGATTGAAAACAAGCTCATATCTCAACAAGGGCGTGTGAAAACACAGTCTCAGCCGGCAGAGCTTGGGGGGGAGAAATGTTGGAGAGAGATTCCAAACATCGATTGTGATACTCAAGGGATTGCAAATAGTTCAGTGGAGGCTTTACTCAGCGACACCTTAATTGCTGGATACTGGATACATTCACTAAGAAATGATCTCAGGCGACCTCACATAGCTTAAGACACTCTCGGATGAAAGCAATATTGATGCACAAGCACATCCCCTCCGCACATTAATTCTTCAGAAAAGTATTTAAATCATGATCTTACATTTTCCAATTGACAAGTACTATGATAAAGGAATCGTAACTACGTAACCTCAGATTCGTTCGAAATGAAGGTTACAACAGTCCTGCTGTGGAACATGTGTGCTACGGGAGCAGAGAAACCGGAAGTTTGGTAGCGCCATCCTACATGGCCGAGATATGCTTAACAGGTGACTATTTGTCCGTATGCCTGTGGTCAGCATGGTGCCTGGCAACACGACAAATTGTGGTAATGTTGGCCGCCCAGGCTCGCACAAATTAGTACCTGGGGATAATTACAGCGCACTTTTGTGATTACCATGTGCAATCATCTAAGGCTGTGCTGACGTGCGCGCGTATTTGGAGCCCAAATGTGTTGTCGCAAATGTGATCCTCTGCATTGTGGTCATCTGCTCTGATTAGGCGGCTAGTTCAGCCACGGGTAAGCGAAGATGATGGAAAAGAATTCTTTAGTATGATTTCCACGTGCATCTTGAGTTTGCGAACTGCTTCATTTCAACGAGGCAAACTTCTAAGGCGAGCGATGAGGCGATGGTCAACAGTAGATATCTATATATTTCGACCTCCAAGCTTCTGTGGCCATTTCCCATCTTCCGCTATCCAAATACCAAACCAAGTATATATTGAGACCTCCGATGTTTCAATCCAAATGCTCTCTTTGACTAAACAATGGACACTGCCATGGTTGAAGCTGGGTGCCGAGAACTCCGGGGAGCCGAAGCCGTACCGGCCCTTGCTGGTATTAGTATGGTGGCGATCCCAATGATCACTATCTAGGAGGAAATCAGGCTATGCCGCCTCTCAGTCATTGGACATTCGCCTCTTCCTGCGACGCAACGTTGGTAGCTAGATGCTTGCTCACTGTAAGATAGGTAGTTGCCACCGCCCTTCCATTTCGGTGCACACGCCTGTGATCCAGTTGAGCGCCATTACGAAAGCACGACTGGCCTTATTACTTGTTACTCATTTCAAATGGTTAGTACTACCTCGTAACTGACGAATCATGATGCCTAGGGTCACTGCGGGAAAAGACGGGCAAACTGAGAAAAAGTAACATAAAAAACTCGCGCTACCTTACAGGGATTCACATGTATGTAGGTTCAAATAAGGTACAGGAAAACAACGACCGACACTAAGAATGAAGCTAGATACCACCATCTGCAACGCAGGTACCTTTACCTTTTTACCTTGCCAAGTTGCTCCTAATAAACACCGGCTTATCTCAGTTCATGCATGGGGCTAGGCCTCATACCATCGCTAAGTCATGAATGGGGACGCATGCTAGCTGCAAAGGAGTTGAGTGTTGAACTCAGCTGCTCTGGAAACGCTCGAGGATGCGACGGTGAAAGGGTCGCTGGTAGGGCTGGGTTATCGCCATTTCAGCCGTGGTCTCGGGAACCAAGATGTTCACCAAGTCGCCCAGAAGGGTGTGCAAATCCCCATCCTCGATTGGGAACCCATTGTCAGACAGGATGCCGGGCAGGGCTCCCTCCAGCCTACGCCAGCCATTCTCGCGCGCAAGTGCAAGTGCCTCGTCAAAGCCTTCACTCATGTACGGCGAGCTGGGACGCTCCACGCCTGGGAAAACACGGTCCCATAGGCAGTACCATTTTTCGGCATCACTTGTGCCACGGCTGGTCGGAATTTCGCGGAGGTCAACAACGTCCTCCTTCCAGAGACGCTCCGGGCCTGAGATTTCCAGACAAGCATTGGTGTCGTGCTCCCACCATTTCCGTTCGTCGTCGAATTCTTTGAAACATTTGGCGCAATAGTAGTCGCTGATGACATGCAGGCGTTCAAGGTGGGTTGTAACGTCGTATGGTCGTCTGAATTCGTACTTGCGGTAGCATCTCCAGTGTCTCACAGGATCGTACTTGTAGAAGGGACAGGCAAAATAGCGCTTGGGTGGTTTTGCAGGGTCGATTGGCTCTGGCTGTGGTCGGCGTCGTGGCGGTTGTTCTCCTTCGTCTTCTTCGCCCTCATCGTTGTGATTGTTGGTGGCTATCTTCTTGGCCCTGCCTTGCCTCGCCTGGCCCAGAGGTGCACGACGCTTCGCTGGTGGCAATGGGACACCGCGGTCGTAGTGTCCTGGGGTGCTGCCCTCTGGGTGATAGATAATCGCCGATACCCATCCGGCGGATTCGCAGCAATGCTCTAAGATGTTGATGTCAAGAGACGACTCAGACACAGCCTTGGCCAGCTGAAGGGCGCAGGTAAGATAGAAACCGCTGGTAACATCGAGACCGAGAGCATTGTATTTTCCGCTGAAACGGCTAGAACCAAGCCCGAGTGTGCTGGAACCCAGCGCTAATGCAAGAGAGTGGTCAGCTACAATGTTCACAAAGCGATGGAGGGGCGGATATCACACCCACCAGGCGTGGGCTTGCACTGGGCACGTAGAGAATCTCCGACCACTCCAAAGAGGGCAAAGCGAGTGGTGAGAGCTGCAACGTTAGGGGCCGTTGGAAGTCCATTTGTTTCGTTATAGCGGGTGTTGATCGCTTGCGGAGTACCGACGGCAGGGGGGCAACAAGTTGCACCAGCTTTTGGTCCAGTTAATCGACCTGGGGCAGACAGGCCTCCGTAAAGGCCTACTGTAGCGAGTACAACAGCCATGTTGGCTACTCTGTGGGAATGCACTTCTACGAGCAACACAGCGGCAGGGTGGTAGAGCTGGATCTAAAGGTTGGGAAAGATCTGATGAGAGTGCCCAATATTATACATTATCTAAATGACCCCATCGACCGCTTTTTGTTCATCGATTTTGTGTGACAAATTTGAGGACGTAGAGGCTCAAAAATGTGAGAATCTGGCCGGCCCCTCGCTCGTGGCCACGCACTCATACAAAGCATAGCCACAGGATTCCCTTCTTGGCTACCTTTGCCACGGGCCGCGACCACTGAACAAGCATGCTTATGTAGGCACCTAGCCAGGAAGCAGGAGGGCTCGGGAAAGCCTGTGGCCTGGTCCAGTATCTCCACGTTCTGCCCTCGGTAGATCAACCTAGCGGGGCACACACGGATGCGTTGGGGCTTGGCTGGTTTGTTTTTAGACAGGAACCCACGTTACGATCTAATCATTGCGGATTCCGGCTGACAAAAACCTAAGCATGATCCTCTTTACGTGACTGCGCTGATGGGCATTCTGCTAGCCCTCCTGCCAAAGCGAGACAGTTTTGGCTCTGCTAAGGAGACCTGATCCATCCACTTCTTCACTGGGGCCCTCCAGCCGGTGCATGCTTAGCTTGTTGGCACCGGGGAAACCGGAGACAGTAAGCATCCCAAGACGCAACTACTCTGGGAAACTGACTGCTGTCGTGATCGGTTTTGGTTGAAATCAATATTAGTCAGTAACGGCAAGTGCCAGCCGCGAAATTCACACGGCATGGCGTCGCGTGGTATCTCAACATACGGCCTTTCTTGGCTGAATTTGGCTGATGGATGAATGACTGGGTTTGGACCAAGCGCGTACACTTGGAGTAGATGCAAAGTAGAGGGGCCAAAATATGCACCTCCCAGAACTTGATCATGTGGTCCTGCAGAGACGTGCTTTCCGTCGGCAAGAAGCAAGCTTGATTGGTCCCTTCAACAGTTTCTTGAGATCTGGCTGTCTCCTGTGAGCCAATGCACAGTCCTCCGCTTCACTTACAGGGGAGGAAGTAGGGCTACCGGGGGATGTGTAGATCCTACTGGCCCTGAATCCCTTACCGCTGGCCTGCCGAAGATATTCCTTCCAGCTGTACTTGGCCTCTATGCAAAGCACCGGATCCCGCACATAATCAAGGCTGACTCGGTGTGCGCAAACAGATTCCTGATGGTCAACTTCTCGGAACGCGAGGGGCATTTCGTCTAGCCAGCGTATCGGCATGAAAAAAATACGATATTCAATGCAGATCGCCACCCCAACTGCCCTTTCCCCTCTATCCCCTCTTCCATGTGCACTAAGCTTATTCTCCTCTCGCTCTGAAGCCAGACATTTTGTTTTGGCATTTTTTGCTCCTTGGCATCAGACCATTGCCTGTGACTTTAGTAAGGGACATTCGGGAACCCCTCATTACATACTACATCGGGCTGCATCATGCTCGCTCACCACATAGCCTCTTCAATCTAGCGGGCTAACGGGGTGTCGCACACCCTTTCGGCCGTAGGTGAGGAGTCTAGTCTGCGTAGATGGTATCTTTGATTACCTCATGCGAGCAGCCTTGACAGCCTACCAATTGATCATATCGCCACAATGTGGCAGGTTTATCCGTAATCTATTCCTACGTTCCATGAACACACATAAGACATTGAAGCGACATGTCCGCTGACGAAGTACCCGACAAACAACGTCAGAACGGGGCATAAACGCAGGGCAAGGGAGAGTACCGTGGTAGGTCCTCTCCAGGTTCCAGTGGGAAAGGAGCTGGGCTGCAGCCGAGTATGATCCCTGTTGGCAGACTTGGGGGCGAAATGGCAACGAAGCGCCGCCAAGAAGAAATACGCCTGCATTTTGTATATGCGGCCTTTAACATGATTGGGCACGAGACAGAGGAGCTGAGCAGCTCGGTTCGACAGGGCACTTTTATTACCGCGTTCATAGTAGAAAATGAGGGGCTTCCTACACGCGCTACCTTCCATCTCCTATTATAGACATGTCGCTGCTTCTCTCAACTACGGAATATGAGCCAACTTCCGATTGATTTCGATGGGTGGCTGTCTATAGATGACTTGTCAGTTGGTGCTACCATGGTCTTCTGACTTGCTCGGCCACGGCCAACCAACCGTCAACGCACATCGTCGGAGGAAAAGCGATAAAATAACGATGCGGCGATGCAGTACTGCAACCGACCGAAAACTATATTACGGGCACTTCGAGAACGGGCATGTTCGGGACATCGTTAATATTCAATGGAAGCTCCTGGAGAGGTACTGGCTATTCGCGGTATCGGTATGTCGTGCGGAGTGGTGGTGAAGACTCGACAAACTGCCGAGAGCTTTAATTTGTAACACAGTGATCCATCGCCACATTGTCGTTCCCAAACATCCATCCGGCAAGCTGTTACTATAAGTTCTCCACTTGCCAAGCTGTGAAGCATCCTTGCACCGATCTACAGATATGGGGTGCCATGAAAAAGTAGGACCTCGCTGCTGTACCCTAGCGGTCTAAATGAAGGCCCTCCCCAGCATGATCGATACTTCTTTGGCTCCCCGCGTTCATTTTCTCTCCATTCATCCATGAAGATCCTTTGACTCGGACTGGTGCGTTAGTGGATCTAATTGTAGTGCTATTTTGTATTTGTGTCTTCGGGCTCGAGCTCCCTTGTATTGTGATGCCTGGTACTTCACAACACGGCTTCTTTGAGCTGTGTGTTAAATTAACCACGTTGCCTATACAAGTACGTCACGGATATGCTTTTACAAATCTAACAATTCAGGACAGTTATTGACAGGAAAATGTAGCTACCTTAAGCGCCAGTCTCGATTCATGGATCAGTTCACATTGTTATTTCTAGATAGCTGGATGACTCTGTTTTATTGATTGACTTGGGGCCCTGCCTAGGCCTAGTGACAGAGCAAAGCTGATCTACAACTACCCAAATTTGAGTATTCAGAACATAAAACGTCCTGTTAAAGGGGCTCCAAACCGGTGAAAGGTTTAGATGCTAGTAGAAAATGAAGTCTACGCTCCAGCCGGAGATAACAGCGACCTATACGCATTGAGAATACCACTGGTTTAGCTCCCGGCATTGACCCGTGGCGCAGCAATTGGCACCATCAAACGACTTCCCGCCGCACTGGCCGAACCGAGCGGCACATCCTTCACCGGAACTTGGAACAGGGGTTTCAGAAGAAACCGGGGCAGAAGTGGCAGAAGAAGCCGGGACTGTGGTTTCATCGGCCCCTTTGTTTGAATTACCAGTACCAGAGTTACCGCCTCCCCAGACAGCGGGCCCAGGCATCGTGAAAGCCTTGTATCCATTGTAAATGCTGAAGTTGGCGTAGCCGTCGGTGGATTTATAGGCGCCGGGGAACTTGACCGTAGGGCTTGGGGTCCCGCTGCCGCCCCCGGTGACCTTGACCTGGACGCAGGAGACGTAGTGCTCAGGCTGGTTCACGTGAGAGCGGTGGATGCCAATGTGCTCGAAGCGGACGAGGTACTCGCCGGCGGGTGTGTCGGAGGGGATGGTAGCGGCCAGCCAGTTTCTGTCATATGTGCACCAGGCGTTCTTGGTGAAGTCTGCGCTCTGGCTGCAGACACCTTCCTCAAAAATCTTGAACCAGTCGCCAGAGCCATCGTAGGCTTTGACGTTGTCGTTCGGTGCACGCGACATGTATACAAGGCCAGGGCCGGGGTGCTGCATGGTAGCACCGACACCGAGCTGGACACGGACCTCGGAACCTGCAGCGACGGTTAAGACATCTGTGCTCGCGGCGTTTGTGAAGGCGCCCTGGTTGCAGCGAGCATCGGGCCCGTCAATGGTCGAGCCGTCTCGGAGGTCTGCGGCAGGGTTGGAAGAGAACTTGATGGGATTGTACGCGGTTGGTCGAGTTGACTTGCGAACGTATTTCTCGGTAGCAGCCCCGTTGGAGATGACCTTGTCGAAGAAGTAGTGGGCAGAGGCCAATTGGGAAAGACCGCTGAGGACCAGAAGGAACTTCATCTTCACTGGTGTAGAGTTATTCGGGTCTTAGGGTATATTTGTTTCTTGCACACAAATAGAAATGAAAATGAAGCCGTCCTGGGCTTGATCGGAAACGAATGAATAAGCTTAAACGAAAGATACTGAAACAATGGCAAAATCAAGTACAGACTCGCTGATACTAGGATATGGTGAGGAGGACCGTTTCCATGAGGCCATATCGCTGGCTTTATATTTCAATTCTAGTGCCATTACTTTTGATCTTAAGCGATTTGGTGGATTCATGCATATGCAGCCGCCAAGCTTTGATTGTCAGAGGTTTACGAGGTTAAGTTTGAGAATGGTCTTGGCTCAGCCTCAGCTCTCTAAGTTGTTCTAGACTCTAAGTGCAACTCTCGCTTCGTATGCTTACCAAATCTATGAACCCCTCTTACCAAAGAAGGAAAATTGGATCAGGAGCCATAAAATGCAATACGATGTTATCTCACTACACATACACTCTTCGACCAGGTATACAAAGATATCGGCAGTAAAGTGAAACGGTTACATCTACCGGGGCCAATCATACAGCCGCCAAAGGAGCTTACATGACACATATGGAAACACTCCACAATTCCAGAATCCGCGCCTTAATTTCGGAATCGTCGTTCCGACTGCACCTAATTAGGTAGGGCTTGCGCTATCATGTCGTATAAACTCCTCTTGCTTCGCAACATCTCTCTCGTATCATATCCTTTTAGGGAAGAAGCCGCATGTGATGTATCATCGTCAGCTTTTCGCTTCTGTGGGTATTGCCATGTTAGATTCCTGAAGCGTATCAAGTGCCAGGACACTGAATGCCATTCGCCGGTATTATCCGTCTAACGCAACCAACTAATGACCATGAACCTGAGGCCCCGGTTGTATTCCACGGTGAAGGTCTAGGACGGGAGTTTCTGTCGGTCTTCTAGTCATTTTAAAAGTTTAGTTGTTCAGCAGCTACTCCGTGTGGTATCACCCTACCTTGTCATCAATTGATAGCTTTCATGTGCAAAAATGTACTTTATTGTGGATTCTAGAAGCACACAGATGAGATGTTCAATTTATGATATATGAGATCTGGCCGTGAAACATCCAGCCTCATGGCTACAGTGACTCTTCTCAGTTCACATATGAAAACAGAACATCGAAATAATTGCTACTGATCTCGTCCCTCTTGCCAGAAGTCTAGCAAGAGCTTGCCAAGGATGATCTTCTGCATGTCCCTCATCTCTGCAAAGTGAGCAACCCTGGACGGTAAGGTAAAAGTCCGTAATCACCACCGGAGCTTGGCGATCGCCCTTGATAGAGGAACTTTAAGTTGCAGGGGTCTATTGTCATGGTTTGGTCAGGGTTGCTTCGGATCAACTCGCCATGGCTAATGTCGTTGGTCCAAGTCGCGCCACTGTTTGCCTTGCCAGCAAAAGGATTCGACTCAGTTGCAGCCTGCGGGCTCCACGATCCACCAAGGCTGCTCGCAGTGAAGGAGCGGAAGTATCGTCCTTGCGACCCGATGGCTTCGACGATCATGAGGTATCCACCGCTGGAGACTGTGTAGACTTGTACAGCCTCAAACAGGTTGTTGGTGGTGTCACTCAATATAATAGTCGATGAAGTGCCGAAATTCCCAGGGAAGTTGCCAATTGCCATGCTGCTGCGGTAGATCTTGCCGTTGTCGCCACAGAAGAACAGATACATGTTCTGCGAATCGCCGATGATAGCCTGGTCTATAGGTCCGGTTGACGAGTCGGAAATAGTTCCAGAAAACAACGGCTGTGCAGATGACCAGCCATTCGCATTGGTTGGGTCCGAGGAGGTTTTGTAAGAGAACGCAGTTGCCCCCCACTGGTATGCGAGAACCCAAATATTCTTTGGGCGGAAGTAGAAGAGAGACGGGGCAACAGCAGCTGCACTCATGACATTTTGGCTTGCAGAGCCCATTTGGCTCCAGTCGGAGAAGAGCCCAAAGTTCAAAGAACCCCACTTAGTTCCGTAATCATGATTAGTAGCGTATACAAGATTCTGCCCGTTGTAAGTGACGTGTGTGAAGTCTTTGAGGGAGACGTATCCAGATTTCGGCTCAGCCAAAGAACCGGTTGATGTCCAGCGGTAAGTCGACGGAAGGGAACATTGAGCAAGCGCGCCCTCCAGACTTGCCAGCAACAATGTTGTGATGCCGGAGAACTTCATCATAAAATAAGCGTCTGGTTATCTAATTATATTTTAACCAGCTTGAAATCATTTGTAGTCTTGGGGTATGCCTTCGTGCTGCTGGTGTCTCATATATATTCGAAAACAGGCTAAATGGCTCCCATACTTACAGTGAGCTGATTGTCCCAGGCTACTTTACCACCCCTGCAGCTCCATGGACGTGGTCCATGGATATGCGTGACATTTTAAGGCTACATCAGGTCTCGCGAACCAATCATCGAACAAAGCGTGATTTCGTATTCATGTGATGGGAAGATCATGGGGCGGGGTGCCACTGATGAAACTCCGGGCCCTTTGGTTCCGATCTACTTTGAGCCACTTAATGGTCTAGTCTCTGCACCTTGCTGGTTTAAGCAAAGGGGGAAAGAAGCTGAAAAAATCAACTTCTTGGCTCTTTTTGAGGGCGTGTAAGCGGTAATTAAAGTAAAGGAATAACCGGTGTTAGGTTCGATCCAGTGGACTTATGAGGATATGTCTAGAATATTGAGATCTGAGCTTTGGACCAACCAAACGGTCGAACGCCTTGTAGCCCTAAATGGCAAAGCATAGCATTGACCTGAACTATCAGCTCAGGGAAAGAACATTGTATTTCAAGAATCAAACCCAGACCTTGGTAGTCTATATGAGAACACGAACTGCATAATTGTCTATGATGCAGTATGCTCTTTTATACCCTCATTCGGGAATCAGTAACGTGATCGTTGATGTAAGCTTGTTCAAATAGCGAACGACCTTTCAAGTCTTGTAAGAGCTAGCCAGGTTAGTAGCACTCCCAGTCGATGTTTCACTCTCTGTTAGATATGGCTGTGTTATAGACTGATTGGTCTTCCCCAAACTTGTTATAGCTGTGAACTTCTACGCTTCTACGACATCCTCTTTATAACCAATATGCAGGACAAAACTTCTTATTAACTTTCTGTGTTTCAAAGTATTCTACATACTGGAATAATTAGGGGTCCCCACGCCAGAATCATAAAAAAAGATAAAGTCATGAGAACATTGTTCATAAGGCGATTGTGACGAATTAACTCTAAGTTATCACTGATAGCCTGGCCTTTCCCATTGTGCTCCTTGCCGTCACCACTGAAACACGAAAGAAGGTTTGATCCATTCCAGATCTTAAACAGAAGGGTCCAATGACGGCGATGGTTCACTGCTGTGAATTTACAACCTAAGGAATCTCCCGACCATTCGCCTCATCCACTAGGTCCTCTAGGTCAGAGCTTGTCTGCGTAAATATGTCCTCCATACATGTTCCAAGCTCCATCGTTTTGGCAAGAGGCGGCAGGATCTCTTCTTTTAGCTTTCGCGAGAGATATCCGAGTCCATCCTGGTCGTGGCTCTGAACGAGGTGTAGTGCCCAGACTAAACGATTTTTCTGAAATGCGGGCTGGGAGTTCTTCTCCGCAATCTCTTTCAATGAGTTCGAGAGATCGCGCATTGTATCGACTTTTGGCTGGAATTCCAATCGGAAAAGCCAATGCATTATATCATAGTCGAGCTCAACACCAAATACATTTGGGATAGAGGATACCTGCGCAAGGAACTCTTCTTGTTCTGAACCATCCTTCGCCAACAAGGACTTTGCATGACAATTAACGCAAGATAGAAGGGCGTGGGGCGTTCAATGAACTTACATCGATTGAGACGGCAGCGTACTTCTCTCCCAGGTGGTCAATACGCTCCGTAATTTCCGAATAATGAGCATGTGCTTCGGCAGTCTTTTCCGTCGATATATTTCGAAAACGGGCAACTTCTGGGCAAGCTTTCTGGTCTCGGATATAAATCGTTCGGCTTTCGATGAGGTCATGCATCTTGCTATAAGGAAGCGACTGAGATCGATTTGAATTGCCTAAGTCAATGAAATATGCATCCACCTTTCGGGCCCAGACGCGCAACAAGCAGTCATCGAGATAAATAAATGATGGCGGTTCAGACCGCAATCTGGGTTCTTCGATGACAATGATGTCTACATCGCTGAAATACGATTCGGTGCCTCGAGAAAACGATCCACAAACGCCGGCCCAAAGAACTCTTTCGAATTCTGGGCGGCGAAATGTTTCCGCGGAAGTGAGTTTCAACTTTTCAATCTCATGCAGGACATGATCATTTCCAGCAGAAGCCCTTGACGAGAGACGTGGAAAGCAGCCGCCGCCCGCTCGGAATCCTGGAGTTTTCAGAAATTGCGGCCGACAGCCGAATTTGGATTGTTGAAGCACATGGGGAGAGAAGGAACGGGGAAGAGTGGCAAACGATTTCGCGGTAGATATCACACTTGTTATCATCATTTTTCTCAGTTATGAACTCGATACCGACGTGTTGGTTATGAAGCCGATGCCGGTGTGTTGTTCGCGTGGCAGGTGCCAGCGCGTTGTTTGCGAGGCCGATGCTAACGCGTTGTTTGTAACGATAGACGAACAGTTGGAGAGTTTGATGAGGAATATTTGGTTGTATGGATGATTTCATTTGGTGTTTAAGCTGATGCGGAAGTTCAGGAGGTTGATGCCAAGAGCTTGTGCCAAAGATTGTTTGGGGTTAAGGCAGATGCCAAGTGTGAGTTTGGTGAATTGTTATCCACTGCCTTTGAGATTGTGGGAAAAGGTAGAAACGTAGCTCTGACTCACCGCTTTCAAGGCACAGCAATCAGGAGGCAGAATCATGCAGTGGCGCCTTCAATATCTGTGCACAGGTCGGACTTCACCTGGACTTCACCTGTGCAGGTGACTTCACTGTGGCCAAACATATTGACATTCAACACACCGTTAATTCTAGTTTTTGCCGGTTCTTTTGAGTGTAATTTTATGCCGATGTAGTTTCTTCGTTTCTTCCATTTTCTTTTCCGAAGTCATGACATCTCATCTCGCATTCAACACCTGACGATGACAAACAATGGGAACCCTCAACTCTTTCATCGCGGTAGTTTGCGCACATGATAACATTGAATGGTTTGTTTTTGATCCCATAGTTCACCCGTCAAACAATTTACAGGACTTAGTTTCATGATCACAACAAAGGCAGCTACAGAATTACTGAAAAACTCTCTCCCCCCTCCTCCTGCGCATCTTTCTCTCCTTCTTTTGTTAATACCAATGACCTTCCTCTGGATATCACCGCTAAGTATCCTCCTCTATTTCTAGTTAACCGGCTTATAATCAACTTTGTCATGCGGGCAGTAGCTAAGATTCCGGAAGCAACCCAGAAATGCCTGGCTGCTGCCAGAGTCTCATTGATTCAAATTCAACTCAACGTTCAGAGCCATCGAATCGATACAATGGTACGTTCACTGGGAATGGCCTCTTATTCTCTTCTAGCATAGCAACTAGTAGAGGATATTAGAAGGCATGAAACGGCAGGGAAGCTGATTCTGTTGATCCATAGAAATTGAGGATGGCTCAGCCCTTATCGCCCGAGTACAACATTCGAGCTACGATCGTCAAAGAAATAGAAGCAATTTCCGAGAACCTTGGTGCGATAAGCGATGTCGAAACGAAAACCCGCTTCCCCAGAGTTTTTGCTAATGCGGAAACACTACGCTTACAACGCAATATATTGGCACATCGGTACGGCCATGGGACGAGGACCGTAGAGTGGTCTGAAGTGATGGATGTCATTCAAAACTCCCTTCCTTCACTAAAATCCGCCTTAGAAAAGGCTCTAGAAGGGCAGTCAGATTAATGTATATCTAGTCTTGGTCTCTCTGAGAAAAGCAGGGACTACGGATTACGAAGCCACCTCGGCAGAATTATTGTGGCAGCCACTCACATAATAATGCTTCTATTGTTCATAGTAAGCAGATAATATTGCCTAATAATTACTCAGTAATTGAGTATAATTCTTTTATCATCAACTACCTACCTACTGTCTATCAATGTCATGGCCTGTATTGGGAGGTTGAGATTAAAACACTCTTCTAGTCTCTGTTATTCTGACGCCCACTTGTTCACCTCTAAAAGAAAGCTTGAAAGGCTGTTCTTTCTCATGTATTCAAAGTAGAGTCCACGCTAGCGTCGCTGAGCAAGGCCATTCTCTTCTCTGGCTTTACGAACTAAAGATAAATGCTTCCCTAAGGACCTTCCATGTGTGTCACCTTGCATCATCAACGAATCGAGGTCTCAGCGGGTTGATAGATAATTAAGGGCGTGGAATGATCATTGCTAAGAAAGACAATGTTACTAGGTAATATCCTTCTCAAAATTGCAGCTACTCGCATTCAAGTGAGTCTTAAAATATAGCGAGGTAGGCCATTTGCAACATTTCCATCCTAATATTCATCTTCGGGGAGTATCGCCAAACCACCCCGGGACATTCTATCTGATCATCGGTTGCGAATACCTTAAATGCATCTTAAGCAACCACACCTTTTGTCTGCTTGATCTGCTTAACTTTGATATCTCTCCAAAAGACGACACATATCAAAGCTCCAGCCAGAAGACACAAGCTAGTAGTAAACATTAGCTTCTGAGAATCAGCATATGCTCGCTTGATGGCAAGTCGCTCAGGAGAACCCGAAGCGTAGCCGATTTGTACTTTCAAATCTCCGTATATGGGGGCAATGTTAGTTCCCTCAGGTAGATACTCCTTCAACTTCTTGGGGAAAACGCCAGTCCAGATGGCTGCAGACACAGTGCCACCGACAGCACTACCCATACTACAGAAGAGATTCAAGATGGCGATGATGGCAGCAATGTGTTGATGATCAGAAGGAGACATCATTGCCATTTCGCCACAGAGAACGACGGCCCCTGATGAGGCGTCAGCAAAGATCTGAGTCATCACAATCAAGCCGACCGCAGCCTGGTCAGTACGGAAGTGGTACATCAGTCCGACGGCTAACATCATCAGGGGAACTCCAAGACTAAGCTGAACCCACTTGAAGCGACCAGACCAGCGAATAATGAAGCCAATCGCTATTCCCCACAGGCACTGCGTCACTCTGTGTGCAGAGTTCACGTATCCTGCATCTGCGACATTCAACTCCCAAACCACTTGCAGCATACTGGAGAAGTAAGAACCCCAGACATTGCTGTTGAAGTATATGAAGATGAACATGATACCAGTCAGGAACACAGTTCGATCCATAAGCAGGTGGAAGGGTATGAATGTCACTGGAGCCACATAGCGCTCATATAGAACGAAGCTAACGAGCAGAAGAAGTCCGAAGACGATCATACAGATGATCATGGGGCTTCTCCACCCATTGGCTTGATAAGAGTAAAGGCTGAAAGGAAGTAGGAAGAGGGCCATGCCACCAGCTAAGAGGATACAGCCGACAATATCCACCTCGATCAGGTAGTTCTTCACCCCTGCCCAGGTGAGATTATACTCAGGCTTCTGAATAACACCGAGCTTCTCAGCCTTGCGCTGGTTCCACCAGAGCAGGCCGGCCAGAGGAAGGACAGCGACGGGACAAACGATGGCCCATAGACCCATGCCCCATCTCCATCCGGCACCCTTGAGCAGAGACTGTGCGATGGGACCTCCGACCCAGGTAAATGCCACATAAGGGGATGAGGCAAAAGCTAGCGCTAGAGCTCGAGACTTGAGGCTAGATGTGTCTGACATGAAGACAGTGATAGTATAACTGACACCAGTAGCGCTTGAGATTGGTTAGTGCTTTGAGCTTGAAAAAAAATACCAAGCAGGGGGTTTTAACTAACCCAATGGTTGAGAAGACTTGTGCCGCAGCGTATGTCTCAACATTATTACATCCTGCCATCATGATAAATCCAATGATCCAAAAGAACACTGTCACTGCCAAACCTTGGGGTCGGCCCCAGGTATCCAGAATCTTGGACAGTGGGATGTAGCACAATCCGCCGATGATGCTTGAGACAATGCTGATAGTGGCTGTGAGTGAGTGCAACTTGAACGCACTCGTCACATACGGGTTAAGAGAACGCTGGACATTGCTCTGGATCGCTATAACGACGTAGATGAGCCAAACACTACGTGGGGCAAATCATTAGTATGAGAGGCAGCAGAGGAATACAGTGAGTAGAGGACTGGGTCTTACTTTGCGTAGGCGGCAGCAAGATGCCATTTGCTCCAGACACTCGTCGCCCCCTGGATTGCACGAACACCAGCTTGGGCATCTTCGGAGATCTTGTCGCTGTCGGAGTCCTTTGTAGGAGGGTCGCTGCGTTCCAGGTCCTTCTCGGAATTGACGGTCTCGTCCTTCGCGCCAACAGTCTGGCTGGCAGGATGGACGCCAGTTTCTACCGCTTTTTCTGACGCCTGGATCGCCATGATGGGTTAGTTATCACAATGGTGAGAGAACAAAAGACATAATAATGACGCACGGAGGAAGGGGAGGCAGCCCTTTAAGTACTAGTCATCCTGTCAAAATCCAGGATCGAGGATTCGGCGTCGGAGGGCAAACCCGCACAATCGCTCGGAATTAGCCATCCGGCTTAGTGAATAGGCCCTTGTCATGCGAACTTTTCCCTCATGGCATGTGGCCGTCTTGCCATGTTCGGAAGTTGAAAGTTTTGGCGGCACAGCGGAAGCGAGGTTACCCATAAGGCAGCATGTAGAACGAGTTTACATTGGCTGGTGCTTGCATGAGGCTATGTGTGTGAGCGGGTTAGTTGCAGGGCAAGGACGCTGGGAGGAAAGTTATCTGATGATCTGATAAAATTAGTTTACTGAAAAGAGCGTAAAGTGGATCGTGAAAATCTCATCCTTGCCTGCCTTGTGATCATTTGCCACTGTAAGTCGTTACAAATCATCCGTAGCACTCTTGGCACTGCAGAGGGCCTGCATGGTGGTGGATTCAAAGCCCCAGTTAAGTGCTCTTGAGGTCTCCGAAGGTTCCAGGAGCGTTTCCATGTAACCAGTAATACGAACTTCAGCCAGATGGCTTCTCAGGGCTCTTTACAGAGGTTTGGAAAAGTGGACTTAAGTGAGCAGGATCAAGCCAACAAATTTTATTCTTCCCAAGAGTTCCTGATGGGGACGAAATCGGAAGTGTCCAGGGTTTTCTATCACTTGCTTTCTATGTTTGTGTCGTGGCACTGTTACAAGGCTAGCCAGCCGGGTTCAGTCTTGGGGGAAACAGCTACGGTTCACTTAAAAGGTGGACTAACATCCTTTCAAGACCTACTTAATGAAATGGGAAGCATCAATGGTAGTAGGGCTCTTTCTCCTCTGGATTTTGATTAGTTCTTACTCCCTTAAGCAGCACTGCAATTAAACCAATTAATGGCGGTCAGCACGAGATCAAAATCAATTTCTGCATCTCACATAACAAAAGATCACGTCTTGATGCGGAAAGTTCATTCCATTCCTAACTTACTCCTGTTCTGGTGTATGCGACCAGATAGGTAATCTTGCAACCGCAGTTCTTGGCGGGAGCGCACTGACACGACACGATCATTACATCCCGGACTGATCAATAAAATTACGCAATGGAAATTCCCTCAATCACAGAATGGTAGGTGAGCGCTTATTGAGCCGGTGACAATATTTAATGATAGGAAACTCGGTTCGTTTTGCCACCGTCAGCCTTCAAATTTGTTATTCATTTCCCCTGCATTTCTAACTCGAAGTCACAGTTGTATCATGGAGCTCTATTAGGTATTCAAACATCAGATCATTATTCTACACCTTTTACCACATCCCATCAATGCAATGGATGTTTTTAGATATACGGGCAAAGGGGAAAACTTGTTCTGATAAATTGGCGTCATGCTTGACTGACATGCTCTTCTTGATCTGCGAGAATAAGACAAGTCTCATTTTGAACTACCAACCGAATGTAAGATATGGATCTGAAAACGCGGGATTTACGCTGATACTTGGGGATAAGTTGGAGATAGGGCTCTAAACAGTCATTATTGTCTTGTCAACCCAGATTTCTCAGAGATATCACATATCAAGGATGTCAAATGGTCTTTCAAGCTGCTATCAAGTTCCTTTCTCTCAGAGATTCACAGCCCGATGATAACGGGCCTCTGAAACTCCAGGATGCAAATCAAGACAATGATTGATGGGGCTCGAGGAACGTCGGATCTGAGACTTGGCATTGACTACTCAAACCGTTACACAACTATAGTTGGCGTATCAGAGGGTGATGAGATTTAATTGAAGTACCTCAAACGGGAGAATTTTCTTCTCTAATAATCTCTCGAATAAATCACAATGTCGCAATATTTTATAGTATAAATTGAGGGGAAAATTGGCCGCCCGAGGTCTCTTCCTTTCCGCCTAAGAAGCTAAAAGAGTTTTACAAATCCTTCAATCATGCTCACCACGATATTTCTTTTCAGAAGCCAGCGTAGCACAACACTTACCATGCTGCCACAGCTTGACTTAATGTGAATATGAAATGGAGAGCTGCGCTGGGCGTTACTCAAATACTTGGTATGTGGGCTCGCCAGCCACTCAGCCATTTTATCCTGCCCAGGCACGGGGAAGTTAAATTTTAAGCCTGGTGCTGTTCAGTCGTGTGAAGCAGCAGGTCGATTATTGTCAAGGGAACATTTGGCTCTGATATGGTCATCAAGTCTCATTGGGGTGTAATCCACTCAGTTCTCACATTCATTCAATAGGTAGCACATGCTTCTTCCTCCTGTTCCAATCATCATAAACTGAAAAGATACCAAGATAAGCTTACAAAGTAGCCTGCGATTAACCATAATTGGACATCTGATGATCCGACCCCTCAACCAAACATCGGCAGCGGATTTCCAAGACACAACGTTACCGAACCTTATCATTGGTCAAATCACGGCTGTATTAGCAGCGTATACCCCGATCCCAATCCTACAATGTAACGTCCGAAAAACCCAGCAGATAATGAGTGCCGTTACAGCCGGGTTCCTATCAAGGTATTCTTCCCCGCACGGTCGGTATCAACAGCCACAGATAACCATGGGCCGATGGGCGGTCGCCTGGGGAGCATTGATAAAGGGAGCATTCCGTGACACCAGACTAAGACAACAAACTCCAACCCCGCTTTCCCATCATCACCAAACAACACAATGGCAGAACCAGGACCATCCACGCAGCCTGCTCCCGGCGATGCAGACCCGGTGAGGAAGAAGAGCCTCGTAACACAGGAAGAGGCTGCCGAGGCCTCCCACGTCGAACACAACCTGACCTTCACCGAGGCCGTGAAGCTGTACCCCAAGGCTATCGGCTGGTCGGCGTTTGTGAGCATCGGTGTGATCATGCTAGCCTTCGATCCTCAGCTCGTTGGAAATCTGTACTCTACCCCTCAATTCCAAAGAGATTTTGGATACATGTACGAGGGCGACTACATCATCAGTGCGCCCTGGCAGATGGGACTCAGCATGGGGAACCCCGTGGGCCAGGTAGTCGGCGCTCTCTTCGCTGCTTATCCAATGGAGAGGTACGGGCGCAAGCTCACCTATTCCGTTTGTGTTTTACTTGTCGCCGGCCTTGTCTTTATTCAATTCTTCGCGCGAGATATACGTCTCCTCCTGGCTGGAGAACTTTTGGCCGGCCTCGTCCTCGGCATGTTTGTTGTCATCGCCCCCGCGTACGCTTCCGAGGTATGCCCACTCGCTCTTCGTGGACATCTCAGCTCCTTCGTCAACTTGTGCTTCGTTATGGGTCAGCTTCTCGCGAATGGGGTCACGGCGGGTACACAAAAGCTAGACAACCATTGGGCGTATTCCATCCCATTTGCTTTGCAATGGTTTTGGGTTGCGGTGATCCTTCCAGGCCTTTGGTTTATACCTGAAAGCCCCTGGTGGCTGGTTCGAAAGAACAGAATGGAAGAGGCAAAAAAGTCGCTGGGGCGACTGGCTTCGGACAAGGTCAACGTGACAGCAACCTTGGCGTTTATTGTGCAAACCGATAGACTAGAGCAAGAGATGGAAGCAGGAAGTACCTATTTGGATTGCTTTCGACCAATTAATAGGAAGCGGACAGAGATATCAATCGGTGTATACTGCACTCAGGTTCTGAGTGGGATTTATCTCATCAACTATGGGACGTTCTTTTTTCAGCAAGCAGGTCTGCCCACTGATCAGGCTTTCAACATGTCCGTTGGATTTTTGGGTAAGTGCTCCATTCTCATCTGATAGCAAGTTTACTAACCTGAAATTAAAGCTGTTGGATTCGTAGGCACGCTTGTATCATGGGTACTGATGCTTCGATTTGGTCGGAGATTCCTCTTCAATTGGGGTCTCACAGCTCTGACTGTTCTACAACTCCTCATTGGAATACTTGATTGTGTCCCAGGCCGCCCATCTTCAGTGATCTGGGCCGAGTCTTCCCTCATGCTTGTATGGAATTTCTTCTACGACATCTCTGTCGGGCCCATCTGCTTTGTGTTGCTTTCCGAATGTTCGGCCACCCGTGTTCGTTCAAAAACCATTGCAACAGCTACAGCAGCACAAGGAATTCTTGGAATCATAATGACGGTCGCCATTCCATATATGATCAACCCTGCCGAGGCGAATATGCAAGGCAAGCTGGGCTTCTTCTTCGGTGGATTGGCTGGTTTGTGCTTGATATGGGCTTTCTTCCGAGTGCCAGAAACCAGGGGCCGAACATACGAGGAACTTGACTTGCTGTTTGATTGGAACGTTCCTGCAAGGAAATTTAAAGGCTACCCGGTGGAGCTAGAAGGCTCCGTTGCTCAACGATAGTGGCCAGCACATGTCTACAGTACCTCTAGAACACTTCCCAACGCCTTATGGGTCAGTTCACCGGAGATAAGAGACTATCAATTCAAAATCACCATTATCAATCTACACAAAACAAAAACATTGACTCTATTTAATAGTCACATCAGATGGCTAGTAAGTTTCTTTAGCCCGGATGCAGCGGCTATTTGCGCTCGTCTTTCGATATCCACACTTGCCGCGCCCAAACATACCAGAATAGACTCTCAGCCCATGCTAAAAGCGGTGAATAAATGATGACATCAATTAAATCATCTGTAAGAAATTAGTTCTCGACGCGTAGCTACTTTTTCGTAGAGCTCGGCGACTTAAGCTGACGCTTCGGAGACATTTAGAGATCCGCAATACGCACCACTAGCAGGCATATATAATAATATGAACTAACGTAATCTACAAGTAAGCCGATTATATAAGTGAGCTGATTACTTCTACCTATCCCTCGTATAATAAAGTTAATTAAAATAATAACAGCTAATTATCTATAATAATAATACTAGAAATTAATTTATTAGACTCCTCTTCAGTCTCCCTATAGATTTAGATATTATAATTAGGCTTTTTATAATTACTATATTATAGAGTCTTTATATAAGCCTGCTCTCCCTAATTACTACTTCTATAGTCTTCCCCTCTTAACTACTTATCTATATCCTTCTAGTCTAATAGATCTATTCTATTCTATATAGTTAGGGACCCTCTAAGCTATATATAGCTTTTTTTAGCTCTTTAGTACTTACTTAGTATCTTATTTACTATATAAAGATTACAGATCTTAGTATATAAAAGAGCTATCTAGTATATTATTATAGTTACTCCCTTTATAAATTAATCTACTATAGCTAGTATAGAGATTAGGGAGCTATTTTAATAAGCTAAGATTTAAGATTTAATATACTTAGATTATATACTTATCTTATATATAGTCTATAATATCTTTAGAACCTAGGGCTATTTTATCTTAAGCAGGATCTCTAGTAGTATTAGTATTTATAGTACTATATCTAGCTTTAAAAGAACTCTCTCTAGATTATATAGTATTAGGTTAGATCTAATAAAGCCTATCTAGATATTCTTCTCTATAAAGAAGTAGAAGAAAACTATATAAAAAATAGAGAGAAATTTAAACTTACTAATATAGATAATATATATCTATATTAAACTCTTAATCTCTTATCTATATAACTACTTAAGTAGTCTAAAGTAGCTAATATCTAGTAGTTAAAGAAGATAGGAGAAATAAGGAGATATATAGATTATAATAATCTTCTGCTCTTAATAGTAAATCTTAAAATTAGCTAAATAGTAGTTCTTATAACTATTAAGAATTAATATCTAATATATCTCTTTTATATAAGAAGCTATATAGGAGTTAAAGTACTTAATCTAATCCAGATTAACTTTATTAGTAGTCTAGCTATTCTTAGTTATTATAAGCTACTAGTTATATAGTAGATTATATTCCTAATATTAGTTCTTAAGATAATATTAGATAGCTAGAATAATAAAAGAAAGGATAGTCTAGCTAACTATATTTATCCCTTAGATTATAATTACTTACTTCTAGTTATTAAACTAAACTAACTTAGTCTTTATATAACCCTCTGAGATTATAACTACTATCTTAGGAAAGATAATACCTATTATAAAGCTAGTTTTATTAAAGTTATATAGATCCTTATCTAGAATACTATATTTTACCTTTAGATTATATATAAAACTAAACTAAGATATAATAATCTTTAGATCTTTATATTTAGCTCTCTAATAGTTATATTTCTAAACCCAGTATATATAGAGCTCTGGTTATTACTTAATAAAGTTAGAAACCTAATTAATACTAATAGGGGGTATATTATATATATATAGTAAGATATTAACTATTTCCTTAATACTATATATCCTAGAAGGAAATATATATATAAATAGCTTAAGTATATATAAGATAATAGCTTTCTCTTTAGATTTTAATAGATTTATTAATTTT